AGGAAGATTCCTGGTACTCATTTCTGTCAGAGGCTGAGTCGAACCTAGGGCCATAGTGCGGCTGGCAGGATTAGGTAAATTGAAAAAATCAAATGACCTAATCACAAATCAATCCCACAACCTTTCAGTTTGTAACATAATGCCAAAACATGTAAAGGCTCTAGCGCATTGTTAAAAAGCACCATTGCCCTTGATTCAATTTAATCCTAATTTTACTTGCATGTTACAGAGAGCACCAGCTGAGGACAACATCTATCATAAGAATTTTAAGATACATTTTGTAGTTCCTATAAAAAAGAAAATCTGGGAGCATACCTTGGCCAGAATGATGCTGAAGGTGTAAACTATCTCCAGGTATGCCATGATTTTGCATGCCTTCTCCTACAATACTCGATTTCAAGTTACAGTTATTTACATCTCCAGTCACCCTCTTTGGAAGAGGTGGATCAGAGAGTGATTCCTCACCCATGCTGATGTCATCCTGGCTTGATTCATCACGGGGTCGCTTACGTTTCTCCTACAAACATTATTAAATAAGATGAGTAAGTCCATTTTGCAGACTCCAGAAGCATCACTTTGCATGTTCTCTTTATTTTATACTATGTATCTATATAACAAGTCCTGTAATAAGAAAAAAGCATGCTACTGTGCACATGTGTACACACATGAGGCTATTCAGAGGAACAAAAACTGTGCAAATACTACCAGTTATATCACAGACATGTGCTCCTGAAGAAAGGGGACCCCATTTGTAAAAACACCATCAGTCATAAACTGGTTATATTTGGTAAGAGTGCAACACAGGATGCAGAAAATGTATGGCCCACAAGTCTATTACTGTCATTTCCATTCTGCAAAGTATCAATCCTTCCACACTCCCTCAACATACCTGAAGATTCAGCATACTTCTTCTTCTTCTGCAACATGTGTACTAACCGTAGTTCTGGCACAATCACAGTCATAAACATAAGGCCTACTTGGGAATATTGGGTTTTGGGGCTGTCCATAATCTGGTATTCTAAGAACACGACATTTCAGAAACTGATCTGTTTCCATCCCCTGATTCAGTTTCTGAAATGTTCCATTCTTTAGAATACCAAGCGATGGTCAAAACCCAAAAGTTCCGAAACCCTGAGTGTTATATACCATCATTAAAACCCTTTAGAATGTATAAATTCTACTGCACAGATACTAGGGAAGCCAGGAAATCAAGGCTTTTCTGGTTGCATGGCCTGTAATTTTATCTTACCTTATGATGATGTTTGTGTTTCTTTTCATGTTTTTCCCTATCTTTATCCTTTTCTTTTTTCTTTTTCTTCTTTTTGGCTTTCTTGTGCTGTCTTTCTATGTGTGATTCCTCTCTCCCATGTAACGATGCCGCTGAATGTCTCGACTCTTCGTCGCCTGTTGTTGGAGCGACACTATAGTTGTTCGAGTGCACTAGAGGAATTGATGGACCTGGAGAATCGCTACTGTGTTCAGGAGTCGATGAGCTACCAACCTTCAGGATTAGCTTAAGTGCTGGCGGTTTTTCAACTCCAAATTGTTTATCTAGAAAGCATAATTTCACGTTTAATCCAAGGATTCTAGCCAGAATCTCAGCAGTCACAGCTTGTAAAATTAAGACCGGTCTGTAAATTTCAGTCGTCAGTCCTTACAGCCGCTGTCTGGTTAATGCTTTTGAGTTACGTGCATACATATAACTTTTTATCCCACAACAGCCATCCTCCATGCAATTACCACTTACAATCAAAACACTCGTACATCATTCGTCTATAACAAACTTACCTTCATATCGATCTCTTTTGTCTGATTTGTGTTTCTTGTGTTTCTTGGACCCCATTCCCAAAGGCTCAATAATGAGAAGTGAATCTATTTTCTAGTCTTAAATCAGCGTTAATCCGTATCAGATTTAATAGCACATCAGTCATACGAAAGCGAAGTTACCGAGACGTAAACGAAACTTACGTCAACAAACGACATACACATATGCCATTTTGAATGCCACGGCCTCCTTAATAATGTAATAATCACTGGCGTATCAAGGAAATGTATAGCAGGGAGCAAAGCATATATGCGGTTTTTGAAGATTTTTTTTCAATTGTTATACAATTTACACTGTTTTCTCGTTGCTAGTATAAATTACTACTGCTGACACCTCTGACACTGTTCAGCAGTGTATATACAAATCACGAGATAGAGATGAATCATTCCTTATTGTGATACGTTCAAGATAACAGCTGTTATGTGCTCAGTAAACGAGGTGGATTTTGATGGTGTTGAACGATGGATGGAAAAGAAATCCGGTGTGCTGTACGTAGAAATAATATCAATATGTATCCATTTATGCGTTCCTTAGAAAAATTAAATTATTTAAATGTTTGCCGCAAGTTTTATGTGCACAAACATGTGACATAACCTAGGACTTGGAACATACGAAATTGATGGTTACCGTAACTGTGTATTATATAAGTATAAACAAAAGAACTAGGCTTTGATGAATATAAGTGAATATGATAGTATATGTGTATTTGTAGGTTTTTAGATTTACACTTTGATAATTTTGCTATGAAACGGAATTAATACAATTACGAATTTTCAGGGTTGGAGACCCATGCAAAAAGTGCAGGGAAAGGAAGGCTGTGGTTGTTCTCAGGTTTCGGGACGCATACTGCAGGTATATTAGAACTGGAATATATTGAGAGGTTTATCTGATGTGTCACAAACTATTTAACCAAATTAACACTAATTGTACTTTTCTTTCAGGGAATGTTTCTTAGCTGCTGCAACTCATAAGTTTAGAGCATCTCTTGGTAAATCGAAGATAGTCAGACCAAGAGATCATGTTCTTATTGCATTCTCAGGTAGCCAGGCTTCAACTGCCTTGCTTCACTTGGTGAATGCAGGACTGAATGAGGATAGTCACAAACGCCTGATGTTTACCTGTTCTGTTGTTTATATTGACGGTTAGTTGAGACTAAATTAATCACCATGAAGATGAAAGATAAGCTGAGCTAGCTCAGTTGATATAGTGACTAGCTTACAAGCTGAACAGCTAAGAAATTGGGGTTCAATTCCCAGCAGGACAAGAGATGTCTTTTTCTCCATAGGATCCAGACCAGCTCTGCAGCCTTTCATCTGAAAGAAACTGTGTGCCCATTTCATGTAAAGTGACCAGAGCATGAAGCTGGCCACGTAGCTCCATCTAACACCAAAAGCTAAGAAAGGAGCTATACCTCAATTCCCTCGCATATCTTCACACAATGGTGCTTCCTTAGGTGGAATAGTTCAGTTGGTGTAGTGACTAGGCTATGGGCTGGACAGTTGAGGAATTGAGGTTCCCAGCAGGGGCAAACGATTTTTTCTCTTCACCATGCCAAGACCAGCACTGAGGTCCACCCACCCTCCTATCCAATGTGCCACTGATAAAGTGACCCAAATTTAAGAGTGCTCCTCTGTACCATCTGCGTTTCATGGTGCATAATTAAGCACAGGACCAGCTTATTAAAATCAAAACAGAAGTCATACAGAAGAATGTTACCTGTAATGACAACATATTTTATTTTATTACAGAAGGAGCAGTAGTTGAATTATCTCCATATGAGCGTAACGAAATTTGCACTTCTGTCATCCAACAAATCACCAAATATAATCTCCCACTGTATATTACTACTCTAGAGAGGAGTTTAGGAAATGTAGATGAAAGCTGCTACTACAGCCATGGTGACATCACATATAACATTGATGATCATAAGGAACTGCAGTTGAAGAAATTAATGGGTTCTATTTACAGTTTGACTGGGAAAGAGGATTTACTTCTTAAATTACGGTAAGTTTACTGATTACCTCGTAAAGCACTCTATGTTTGCACTGCAAAATGGGTTAAAATATTTTCATTTCATTTCAAGGTTGGATGCTTGAATGAAATTAAATCTTAATACTGTTAAAGTAATAGTTTTTGGATACTTAGGGAATAAGCTCTTTTGCCTGTAAATGAGAAACATGTCTTAGTAAAGAATGTGTTAATTGGCAACATTTTGGGGTCCAGTTTCTTCTGTAGAAATTTAATTATCTTCTATTTTACCACTTGCTAAGGTTCCAGTGGCACAATAACTGATCCTTCTGTGAATGAAATGCTGCTGCCAAAATGTATGTGAAGACTAGTTTAGTGTTTTTTCTTTTCTTCAAGTGGTGCAATTGAAACAACTTTAAACCTATTTAAAACTACAGTGGAATGTGACAGATTGGACATTTCATTCTGCATTTTGGTATAAACATATTCTCATATTGTGTTTCTCTCCATAGAAATGACATTCTTTTTTCTTCATATGATTAAAATATGCTGTTAAAAGGGAGCAGAGTGTATGGGGACTCTGTCAGTGATTTCTATCTCATAACAGAATATGAAAATTATCCAGAATTATGGGCATAAATAACTGTCTCTATAATAGACAATTCTGATGCCTTTAATTTGTAACAGAAAAGTTTTACTGTACCTGATATTAAGAGTTTCCTGTTTTTACGCATCTCAGGAATCAGCTTCTCGTGAAGATAGCCAAAAGGCTGAAGTGCACAAAAATATTCTCGGCAGACACTGCAGATCACTTGGCCGTGAAGTTATTGAGCAGTGTAGCTCTTGGACGAGGAGCTCAACTTCCACTGGATATTGTATGTTCATAATCAATAACAACTGCCTCAAAAATGCACATTAATACATGCATGTTGAAGGAGCATTAAGAGAAATACCCTGCACTATATGTCCACATCTCTATATAAACATGTATATTGTATTTGGTTTGTTCTGTGTCATGAATGTTGACAAAGTCATAAATCATGCATGTGATTGTTTCCTATTCCTTCATGTTTATCTTGTTCTATAAATAAATTCAAGTTGTGGCAAAAATTTAAACTCATCTGATGCATAGCTCAATTTATTATTTCTGTGTAGGGTTTCTGTGACACACGGGATCCAGATGTTATGTTACTCCGGCCAATGAGAGACTTTATGAAGAAGGAAGTTGTGTTTTATAACATCTTCAACAAACTGGAATCAGTTTTTATTCCTTCTCTGGGAACAAAGGTTACATTTCTTTATGTTTTAGAAAACTACATTTCTGGTATAGACTTATCCATGTTTCACTGATTTATAGGTTTTAAGTTTTTTTGTCTTTGTATTGTATAGAAATAATGGACTATAAAGACTATAAATCTGAGAAGGTTCTATGGGGGAATTTTTGGTATATTAGTACATCATTTATATTTATAAAAAGGAACTGAAGAAAACAATAATAAACTTCATTTGTAAATAAAAATATTAATTTTCTTCAATATTTTTTAACTTCAGTTTATAAATCTAATTTCCCTAGTAAAATATTGTGGTTAATATAATGAAAAAGTAAGACATAAAACGCAGTGAAGCGTAATAATTCTTCCTTTGTAAAATTTTGTTAGTCTGCCATTCTAAATATATGTAAGTTTAAGGTCATTCCATGTGCAACCTGTAGTTTTAAAATTGGGTTTGTTTTAAAATTTGTGTCTAGTTCTATCATACATTTTGACATACAGTAACGACATTTCATTTAATTATGTAAAAGAATGAATGTGTGTAAACTGATATCTTCATTTTCTTTGCATAGGCCAATGCACATGTAAGCATTCAGAAACTAACGGAGACATTTGTCACAGATCTTCAAGAAGATTTCCCAGCAACTGTGTCTACAATATTCAGGACAGGGGATAAACTGAACATGGCCAATAGCATGACTGAGGCTGTTGAACACTGTGCCCTCTGCCAGGTATGTGTGACACACTTTACTGTGGTTCCACGTATAAACAGTGAATGGAAATATTCAGGAAAGTATGTGTACATAAACACTAATGCATAATGCAAATAAAGTGAACCAAAGCACTTTGGTGATGTATGCATGCATCTCTCTTTTGCTGTGTATGATCCTAAATAAAAAAAAAATTGTGAATGTTTCCAGCTTGCTTCTGCTCATAAAGTAAAAAAAAGTAAAGGTATTCATGTAACAGGCTGTGGAGACCCATAGGGTTGTGAGATGTTGAGGTTCCCACATTTTCTAGGCAGAAGGCTCAAAGATGGCAGTAAGGTTGTCAGCCTTACGCGCTGGCTGCTCTTTACCCCCAGGAAGATTCCTGCTACTCATTTCTGTTAGAGGCTGAGTCGACCCCAGAGCCATAGTGCTGCTGGAAGGATTAACTAAACTGAAAAAATCCACCTCATTGGGATTCAGTCCTGTGACCTCTGGCTTGTAGCATAATGCCTCAACCAACTATGCCACTGCTTCTGCTCATATTTATAACATTTTTTTTTTTCACCCATAGGCTCCTGTGGACACCACAACCACAGTGTCATCAGCTCTTCAGGCAACAGAGTTTTCGCGCATGGTGTCAACTCTTGGACCATTTCGCTTTGATAGTAAATCCATTGGCACTCTAAGTAATGCCATGTCAGAGCCTAGTGATGGTGAACAAAAACTACTGATGTCACATAAAGACAAGTCAGACGATGCTGTAAAGTACTGTAGTACCTCAGGAGTAACATCCACAAGCAGGAAGAAAGGCACTTGCAGAGAAGATGGAGAAGGTTGTCAGTGTTCCAGAAACAGCCTCAGTATAACATTACCAGAAGTAGAGGCATGCTTCTGTTACAGCTGTAGACTTATTGCAAGAGAAATGGTTTGTATTAAGGTTTGAAGTCTCACACTTCATTCCCTGCATTATATAAGAACACAGTATTATGACGTACAGTAGCCAGAATGGGCCAAGTGAGTATAGTAATTAGGCTGCAGGCACTTTTTCTCAGCCACCATGCACAGATCAAATTTGGGACACACCTAGCCTACTGTCCACTGGGTAAAAAGTAAAAGTAAAGGTATCCCTGTAACAGGCTGTGGAGGCCCATAGGGTTGTGAGATGTTGAGGTTCCCACATTTTCTGCATATTCAGCTCATGGATGGTGGTGAGGTTGTAAGCCTTATGCTCCGGCCACCCTTTACCCCCCAGGAAGATTCATGGTACTCATTTGTTAGAGGCTGAGTCGACCCCACGGACATAGTGTGGCTGGAAGGATTAAGTAAATTGAAAAAAATCCACCTCATCGGGATTGGATCCCGTGA